GGATGCTCTGAACCTCATTAATCTGAATGGTTGTCTGGCCAATCAGGTGACTCATCCGGTGAGGACCGTGGCGAGCAAGAACTAAGTTCTAGCTACTACTTATAGGCAAGGTTGTCAGAGTCTAGTTTTTACCTTGACTCGTTTTGCCTAGGTAAAATCGAAATGTAAAATCGTAGAGTTTACCTCGAATTTGTGCTCTGGCTTTGTGACTTAATACAAAAAATTAATAGATTTGTTTATATATACATATTCACTAACATGTAAGAATTATGGTAATTGAAAAAGATAAACTTTAATATTAATACATTTGAAATTTTAAATAGACCTTTGTTATTAACCTTTTTGCTAAGCTTAACATTAGAAACTGAAATGAGTATATTTATGCACAAAACAAGATATAGTCAATTTTCACAAAAAGAAAGTAAGTACAAACAAAAGATTATCCAAATAAGTTGGTATATTAAAATAATAAAAATAGAAAAACATTGTAATAATCACCTAGATTACAAGCCTTAGTAGCATTCAAAGACACATAATAGCAAAACTAGCAACAATGTAACAAACATAGTAACAAACCAATGTTACATACTGTCACATAATAACATAATAACATAACATTGTTATGTTTTTTATTTGTAAAAAATTCTCACTTTTTAGATACTTACCAATCAAAGAAAAAGGCTCACAACAATACAAAAGCATCACAACATACAAAGCAAAAGAAGAAAGCTCATAGAATATTATCGTTGAAGTTTTGGTCTGACGTCCTACAAGTGAAGTGACGTTATGGTTTAAGAGTTTTTTATTTATTTTCATTGCTCTGCTAAATGAAAAGTCTAACGTCTAATAAAAAAAGAGGTTACTTAAAGTGAATAAAATAATAAAGTGGACGAAGTTTTATTAGATTGACCTTTTTTAAAATTTCAAGAAAAAAAGGTAAAATCAAGTGAAAGAGTAAAATTCAATGATTTTACACGATTTTACAGATTTCGGAGAAATTTAAATCGTGTAAAATTGTTCCAGTATACAATTTTACTTTAAAATGACTTTACCTGCGATTTAACATCAAATTCCAACCTAGAAAAGTAAAATCTAAGAGTTTATGTTTTAAATCGTGATTTTAACAACCTTGCTCATAGGGGAATAGAGTCACTGCATCTTAAATCTTTTCTTACCATGAATTTAGCTAACTGTGTGGCTGCCAGTGTTGGAGCAATGTCTCAATCTTTTGAGAATGCTTTACAGCAAGTGGAGAAACTTTCACCATCCTATGCTTATCTCGAGGGAACAAGTTTGACCATATCATATGTGCAAGGTGGAAAGACTGTCTCTTTGCTAGAGTATCCATGTCGGACTCCTTTTTTTAGTAATGCATGTATAGTACTATTGTAATGAAAGAATATATGTATATATATTTTATTTTTTAATGAGATGTATTTTTACATGTTTAAGGTATGTTTGTGTGATCCTGAGTGCATAAATCTGAATGTTGTGTTGACTTATGGGGTATTCCCTCGAAGTTTATTAGATATTACTAGGGTCATTCCCGACCAAATTCTGGTTCCTCTTCCTCCCCCCATATGAAAATCTGGTTCGAGGTAGACGTATAGTCAACCAACTGTGGCCTTTAGAGTTTCTAGCATCTAGAAGGGGTGCATTATTATTGCTTGTGGGGATTTGCTTGTTGTAATCACATGATCTAAGCATCTAAAATATCACCCTTGACTTTCAATGGAGAATTGATTGATGTGGTTGCACGTACAAAGTGTATACGACAACACCCCTGACTTTCGATGGGGAATTGATTGTTGTAGTTGCACGTGAAAAACACCTGCGACGACACCTCTAACTTTTTTGTGTTTGCTTTGTGTTGTGGGGGAATTAATTGTTGTAGACGCACATGCAAAGCATTTTCTGGTGTGAATATGGAAGTAGAGAAACGGTCTAAGGGGGAGTGAATAGGCCCAAATAAAAATTCAACCGCTTTTTCAAAACATATCAGAGATTTTTCAAAAGACGTGATCGGAAGGTTTAATGCATAAATATGAAAATTATACTTTTCAAAATCTTATCACGTTAACACTAAATCGCTTCACAAACACCAAATATGAATATGATGATACATAGGGTATTTAATTGATTCAGTTGTATAATCCACGAGGTGTATTCACACAATGATTCAATATAGTGAATTCTAACCTCAATTGTTTTCAAAATTTTATCACCAATTCAGCTCAATAAGATATCAAATTCTAACAAAACCTAATGCTTACACAATAAATCACTACCAATCGAATAAATGATAAACTATGTTAGAATTAAACTACCTAAGCATGCAAATACTACAAAAATTAAATGAAAGAGTAAGTGAGAGAGATGACACCGAGATTTATAGTGCTTCAGCGTTCGTCTTCGCTTTGTCTACGTGAATTGATCAATGGTTTCCCATTTGAACCTGCATTGTTCCTTTTTATTTGACAAATATTTGCAAGAGTTCATACAATCACCAATTTAAAATAATGCTCAGAAAAATAAAATCTTCTATCTGGATCTTTACTTGTATATAATGCAATGTCAAAATCTTTTATGTAATCTATACTCAATCAACGCTTCTTGAATTTTCCAATATCACCAATGTGTTCTAAGCCTTGGTGTGTAGAAATCAACCCCTTGATCCTATCGATTCCTTGAGCGATTGATTATCCAATGATTTGAGAAGAACACTTCCTTATCTGTATCTTTCCAAACAAACACTACTAAGGCAATCTAGAAAGAAGAACCTACTTATTTTCAATGGAATTTGTCAGAATCATTGACAATCACCTCAATCTTGCAAACAAAATGAAAATCTCAACCAAATCTTCAAGAACGATTAGTTTCAAGAACACACCTCCTTCAATCAATTATAAATCTCTCGTCATCAAGATCTGAACCAAATTGAAGTTAAAGATGGAAGAATTTTGTTGTAAGAACTTTGAACTTTCAAAATAGAGGTTATTGAATTTTCTCACATAATCACACACAAATGCACATGAACTTGTTGATTATTGATGATCTGTTACTTGAGAGATGATGACAAAAAGGTTTTATATATGCTTGAGATTAAACACTGAAAATGATTGAAAAATTCAGTTAAATTTGAATCTAGAGCATTTCATGATTTGAATCAAATGAATAAGTGAAGTGGAATAAAAAGAAAAACAAAGTTTTGACCCATTTTTCAGTTGATTAGAGTCAAGAGGAAAGTGTGATTCAAATTAAAGACCTTGTGATTCGAATCATGTGTTAAATTTGATTCGAATCAAACTGACTGAGCTAACTGAAAAATGTGGAAAAATTGTATGATATGAATCAAGTGTAAAGTTTGATTCGAATCAATTGTGGCAGAGGTGACATAGAGTTTGATGATTCAAATCATATGTGAAATGTGATTCAAATCAAGTTATTTTGAAATTTTTTGGTTTCCCTCTGCCCAAAATGATTTGAATCAGGATTTGTGCCTCATTCGAATCAAACACCAAAAAATCCCAAAATTTCAAGTTTTTCAAAAGACTTTGAGATTTTTCTTTCCATCTAACTTAAATTAATACCATATGTGGATCTTATTCCACTAACTCATGCAATTGATTAAAAGCATTATGATTAAGTTCAAACATAAGTAATGTTTAATGCCTACTAAAAATAAATTATTTCAAAACTTGGTTCAGAGAGGTGCAATCATGAAGGAGACTCAATAATCAAAAGTAAATCAAAGTGAAAGCGATAACACAGACACAAAAATAACTATATTAGGGTGCTCCCCCTAAATGTATTAGGAGTATGCAACTACAAGCGTATGTGACAACACCCCTGACTTTTTGTAACAGGCCTTGATCTTGTCGGTCGTACCCATAGTTGCTACGCACAAACACAAAGAAACTGATATATCAGAAAATGTTGTATTGAATTTTTAACTACAAGTATCTCCGATACATAAAGAGAATGATTGTATAATCACAATATTTAATAGAAAACAAGAAAGAAAACATAACCATGCAAGCTACCCACCACTTATTCTCCTCATTTGCCTCTCGTTCATCTAGCCACTTCTTGGGGGACGGGTGCCATCATGTTGAGGTGGCTGGTTAGAAAGTCCATGTTAATCTCCGTGGATACATTTTCCCCTTGATCTTCCTAAAATGCAATTGTAGACGCTTATGCAAGGGACAACAAGGAATTGCAAATTCACTATTCAAATATCCTTCGTTGTCCACTAATACTATCATCTCAATATATTCTGATGGACGGGTGGTCGTCTCATTGAATACATGAAAATTTGAGCCTTCATACAACCATAAACTTTTTCTTCCGAGATTCATCTTTTCAAACAATTACAAATACATTATATCGCAAAAGATATCACCATCAATCAATATTTGAGAGAAGTCAAACTATCCGATAATAACTAAAATAACAAAAAGAAATCGTTAAAAATAAAAAATTATCTTTTTGTTGTTTATTCTTCCTTTAATTTTAAAATAAAAACTACTCCACTTACAACTATGTCTTTAAATTACATATTATACTATATAAAACTCTTAATACTCTTTCACATTATTTGACTAAAACTTTTCATACTTGCCACTCTAATCTCAAATGACTAAAATCAAAAATAAACTACACCACATTATTTCCTCTTTTTCAATCTAATTCACTTGTCAATTCCATAATATTTCAACAAAATCCACTCTTATAGCAAACTACACCAAACATGATGTGTGACATACATGATAAAGAAATAGCAAAATCCAAACATTCAAACACACCATCATGCATGTGGAAATAAAATAATATTAAAAAACTTAGTAATAAAATAATTCAAATGTATCCCATAAGTAGACAAATTAGTCCTCATTACTCTATAACCTAAAATATATTACCAACAAACATATGATAGTTGAATTATATATAAAACCAAAACCTCCTCAAGTCCTCATCACTCTCAACCCTTTTCTCTCCAAATGAAGTTCCAAGCAATGGAACTTCTCTTTGGCAAAAACACACCAAAACAAATGATTCCCAAAGTAACCCTCCTAGCAATCTTCGCCATCCTTGTCTTCACCATCACACCTCTCTCCTACCCACTCTTCCGGTACTCCTCCACCATGAAAAACGTCAAACAAATCAAACAACAACCGTCTTCCGCCTTTGATGACTTAAACGAATCGTCAAGTTTGCCATCAAGTTCCATCAAGAAATGCGACATTTTCAACGGCGAATGGGTGCCGAACCCGAAAGCGCCGTATTACACGAACGAAACGTGCTGGGCGATTCATGAACATCAGAACTGTATGAAGTACGGGAGGCCGGACTCGGAGTTTTTGAAGTGGAAGTGGAGGCCGTTCGGGTGTGAGCTGCCGGTGTTTAACCCGTTTCAGTTTTTGGAGATTGTGAGAGGGAAATCCATGGCGTTTGTTGGGGATTCTGTTGGGAGGAATCAGATGCAGTCCATGATTTGTCTTCTCTCCAGGGTATCTCTTCTTTCTCTTGCTATGTTTTTCATATAAAATTTTTTTTACTATATTTTTTTTAGAAAAACGGTTAAGATAAGAACAATTTAAGAAAAAATACAAGTAAAGTGATGATTTAAATTTTTTACTAATTTTATATGTATAACTTTTTAAGAAAAAAAATTCAAATTTGCTAGATATGAACCCCAAATTTATCAAATTAATAAATATTTATTAATATTAAAAAATTATTTAAAATAATTAAATTATTTATTTATTAATTTAAAATATCATTTAAATAATTTTAATATATAAAAAACATTTTAAAATATAATATATAATTATTTAAGAAATAAAAAAAAACAAAAAGAAAATCAGCTAGTTAAGGGTCAGCCAATGGATGGTCGAATCCATGCTGGACGAAAATTGCTTTTGTAGAGTTGTCCTTCCAATGGACGAACCCTTATTAAAAGAGTGACAAATTTGTATTTTTTTTTCAAACTTGTAGCATTTTAGTGTTTAACTTTTTATGGTATTCCTCTATCCCATAGGAGAAAAACTAATATTTAATTTTAAGCTTGGAAAGTGGGATTTCAAAACTAGAGAAAGTCATCATTAGTAACTATTCATCCAAAGTTTCAATGAATCTAGACTTATATCATTTGGTCAATTAGTTTTAGTGGTATATTTAAATATCTAATTTTGCATTATATTTTATACTAAAAATTTGGGAAGAAATTATTTGTATTAATTAAAATACATATATTTCTGATTTGTACCATTACATGTGAAAACATAGAGATAGATAAGATGTAAACAAAAATAGCTAGGGCCTAGGTGTAACAAAATAATGTCTATAAAAAACAGCTGTAATGGGTTTGCTCCAAAAGTCATTGTCTTTCCTATTGTTGGATTAGACCTATTTTGCCATCTTTCTAATGTCATGTATGGTTCACCTAAGCCCATTATCTCATTCATCAAAACATTAGGTAAATTGAAAGTAACATGTATAAAAGTATCAACCATGTTCATATCTATGCCATTGGAATCGAATCTTCATTTTTCATGGTATTACTTTTATTTGACTTTATTCTCCATGTCCCTATCTTCTAATCAATCAAATTTTAACCATATTAAAATTACTAGTTTTATAAAGATAATTCACATTTGAATTAAAACTTTCAAAAGTACCTCTTATCTCTAATATCTTTAGTTTTTTATTATAAGAAGATATTATTTTAAATTTATTAAATAATCAAATGTATTTGTATTATTTTTATTACTATCGTCTCGGTCTCGCCTGTCCGTTTTTTTAAGATGCATACGTTTAAAAATATAAACAAAATTTTTGGTGTATATTTATTTTTTATTTTTATTTAAATTATTTATTGAAAAAATTAAATGAAATAGTTGTATAAACCACTATAACAGTTAATAAAAGGAGAAGTTGGAATTTAAAATAAAAACTGAAAAGGTATAATTGAAATAAAAATAAATTATAACACCAAAATCAAATTTTCCTTTTAGATAAGAAGACTTTATTTAATAAATTTTAAAATTAATTTTTTTTATCATTTAGATTAAAGAATATACAATAATCCTATTTATTTTTAGGGTCATGCTAACCAGTGTCCTCAGAGCACTTGTTAAGAATTCCAAATAAGAAAAATATGTTATATTTAATTCACTCAATACACACAATATTAATTAAAAAGTCTGATTATTTCTCTTTTCAGGGCATTAAATACACATATATTTAAAAAAAAATATATTTTTCAATATCTTAAATAATGACCAACTTACCATTTTAATCTCTTAAACAATGCCTTGAGGGTATTCGTTAGCCGTTCCCTTATTTTTATTAGCTATAAATAATTCTAGTTTTAAATTTAATTAAAAATATTTCTAAAATTGGCCTAGAGGTTTCAACAATTAATGTTAAAGCTATAGCTAAACCATAACATTAGAATTTGTTGAAATGTCACCCTCATCAAAGAAGAAAAACAAGAAATATCCTTTGTGTATCTCTCTACCTATAGCTAGTCATTGTTTTCAGTATTTAATAAATGCAATAATTAGTTTGCATGGAAGGAAATTATAACAAACAGTTCAAATAACTATTGTTAATAGTTTGAAAAGAATCTAAGATAAGACATGAAAGGGACCACTCAATTATTTTATTTAGATGTATTATTGAAAGCATTATTAATGAGATTAGTCATCATTTTGTTCTTATATGGAAAAGTTCACATGTAAACAACTTCCATCATGTGCTGGATTCTCAAAGTTTGCAACATGCATGCAGGGTTTCTTTTTCTTTTTCACTTTGGAACAGAAAAACATGGCTTAAAATAATAAAGTAGATCTTTTCAAAAAAATAATAATAATAAAGTAGACTAAAAGGAATGGTTATAAAGGTTATTTTACTCATAAAATAATTTAAAATAATAAAGTAGATTATTTCAAGTTTGAGTTTCAAGATGGTATAGTACCTAGTTTGGTATAATAAATCTTTTATTTAATATTTTTATTATTTTTCAGGTGGAATGGCCCATAGTTGTATCACATAGAGAAAATGATTATTTCATGGTATGGAAGTATCCAACTTACAATTTCACACTATCTTCATTTTGGACACCCCATTTGGTAAGATCCAAAGAATCAGACCAAAAGGGTCCAACTTCAACCGGTCTCTTCGATCTCTACATTGACGAGCCAGATGAAAATTGGATAACTCAGATAGAAGATTTCGACTATGTCATCCTGAACGGAGGACATTGGTTCACGCGATCAATGGTTTTCCACGAAAACCAAAAAATCGTTGGGTGTCATTATTGTCTCTTAGAAAATGTCCCCGATTTAACAATGTATCATGGCTATAGACGAGCGTTTAGAACTGCTTTCAAAGCTATAAACAATCTTAAAAACTTCAAAGGCATAACATTTCTTAGGACATTCTCGCCGTCACATTTCGAGAATGGAATATGGAACCAAGGTGGAGATTGTGTTAGGAGGAAACCATTTAGGAGCAATGAGACGGAATTGGAAGGTGTGAGTTTGGAGTTTTATATGATTCAATTAGAGGAGTTTAAGGTTGCGGAAAAGGAAGGGAGAAGGAGGGGGAAGAGATTTAGGTTGTATGATGTTACACAAGCTACATTGTTGAGACCAGATGGTCATCCTAGTAGGTTTGGACATTGGCCTAATGCGAATGTTACGTTGTATAATGATTGTGTTCATTGGTGTTTACCTGGTCCGATTGATACTTGGAGTGATTTTTTGTTGGATATGTTGAAGATGGAAGGGGTGAGATCGGCGGAAGAAAGAAGACTTCATTTGAAAACAAATTGAGAAGTTAAATTGTTTTTTTTTTATATATTTTTCTATTTTATATGTAATCTAGCTTTGTAATTTTAAGCTATGATCATGCAAACTTGTTTTGTAAATTTTTTTAAGATTATATTTGATTGATGTTTTTAAGGAAGTTTTTTTATTGTTACAAATATTTTTATACGTCGGTGGCTTATATAAATTCATGATTTATATATTAAATTTGTTGACAAATACAGAAAATGATCTCTTAACAAAAGCATGTTTTCAATTTTCAAATGCACTTTTTCTTGATGTAACATCCTACCCTTTTTGAGTAGCCATCGAGGATAAACTAAAATAATAATGCTACAATAATTAGTTGGAATAGATCGATTATCGTGTGGTGATGCTGACAAAGCCAACAGGACTAGTTGTGTAACAATCCAAGTTGGTTCTTTTTAGCTATTATCAAACTATAATTAAAATTTATTGTTCTTCAAAATAACAACAAAACAAGAGACTCAAGTGGAAGTGTTGTGAGTTATAATTTAATGGTAAGTTGAAAGCTAATATCTAATATTAGATTATGTCGAAGTGCTTAGTTGAGGTATAGGAGTCAGTTATACTGGTCTTGGAATATAATAGTTGTTATTTTGCATTTTTTATGTTTTGAATTTGAGTTATTATGTATAGTTTTGGGTCTAGATTTTATTTGTTTATATAAAAGTATTGTATGATAAAAATAACAACTTATTTAATAATTTTTTCTATTGCAATTTAGATTCAATATTTTTTCTCTTTTTTTCTTCTCTCATCTTTCTTGAAAACTCATTTGTTCTAATAAATTGGTATTAAGGAGTTCATGTTGTGATTCAGAGAGAATCTATAATGGCAAACAGAATAACATCAACGCAATTTTTCAGAGAATCTATAATGGCAAACGGAATAACATCAACGCAATTTTTCAGAGAATCTATCGATTTTCAAATGTGAGAACTATGAATGATGGGTTGCCTAGATGAAAGTCATCTTCAGATTTTAAGATGTGGCTGAAATCGTGAATGATGGAGCATCGGAATTGGAAGCGTCTGTAAATGATGTCCAGCAAGTTGTGCATAAGGAACAAAGAAAAAAAGATGAAAATGTTTGTTCGTGACTCACCAGTGTGTGGATTCTAATGTGTTCGAAAAAGATAATTGAAGAAAAAACAAGCAAAGGAGTGTGAGACAAGTTTAAAAAACTTGTCTGGCAGTCATGAAAAACTAAAAAACGTAAACTTGCAGAAGTTGAGAAATAAATTCGAGATGGCTCAAATGTAGGAAGATGAATCAGTCTCTGAATACCTTTCATGTGCGGTGTTGTTAACAAACAAGATGAAGGCATGTGGTGAATCAATCAATGATTTGCAGAAGATTGAGAAAGTGTTAAGATCTCTGACTGCGGATTTTGATTATATTGTAGTGTCAATTGAAGAGTCCAAGAACCTAGCTGTAAGGAAGTTGAAATAACTTCAAGCTTCATTAGAGGCTCATGAGATGAGGTTGAAGCAGAGAAACTCAGAATGAGAAAAGGTGGTTGAGCAGACACTACAAGCAAGATTCATCAAGAAATATGGGAGAGAAAAGGCGAAGTTGGGAAAGAATCTTGCTAATGATGAGAAGTCAAGCAAGAACTTAAGGAATCATTATGATTCTATCAAGAAAGGCATGGGAAATAAGTATTCTAGGAATAAAGTTGACATGGAAGATGTGTAGTGTTACATTGTCAAGAATTTGGCCACTGTGCTCAAGACTGTCGAAGAAAGAAAGAAGCAATAGCAAAAGATACTGATGAAGTGTAGTACACACATGCTAAAAATAATAATTCTGATGATGTTCTACTCATGGTCAATACTCAGTCGAACATTGAACAACCCGATATGTGGTACTTGTATTCAAGATGGAGTAACCACATGACTAGTAATAAAAAGTGGTTAGTCAAGATAGATGAATCAATTGAGAAAGTGATAGAGTTTGCAGATGGCATGCTCATCACATCTGGTGGAAAAGGAGATTTTTATATTGTCAGAAAGGATGGTCGAAAAGCCAACATCAGTGATGAGTTGTATGTATTGTCGATGACAAGTAACTTGATAAGTGTTAAGTGTAAATTTTGACTTAAAATGAACCATCTTTTTTGGCACTTTTCAACTTAATTCTCATTTTTTCATAGATGTAATTCATGCTCTTCTGTGATTCTTCAATTATATTGCAAATACCTTTGAATTTCTTGATTTTTCTATTATTGTGCAGAAATTTGACATAAAACATCAATGAGTAAGACACAAAAGATTGGACAAGGAAGCCAAAGAAATGTGAAGATTCTGCAATATTCACTGGGCGAATAGTAGCGAACAGGCAGCGCACGTTCACTGTGCGAAGTTGCAGCGAGGTCCCAACGAGAAGGAAACCTTAGAAGTCAGTAGCTAAAGGACCCAAAGTTTGTTGTGCAAACTTGTTGCGATGTAGTTTGTAGTGCAAAGAATTGATCACACATAAAACTTTAGATATTTTTCAAGGGTGGTTTAATTGTTCAGTGGCACTTTAGGTGCCATAAAGAGGACTTTGTTAGGCGAATAAGTAGACTGTAGTGCGAACACGACAGATTTTATAAATACTAAATAAGTACTTTTCTTGCTTTTTAGAAACATATGTTATGTTTTTGGGATCAAAATTTTATCTCTCTCCATTCCAAGTATAACACAAATTCTAAGAGGGAGAATGTAAGATCTTCAATCTCTTGTTGGGTTTGAATGTAATCTTTTGATACCTTATATATTTTATCTATTATATGTTTGTGAACTAGTTTGGATTATCTATTGTTAATTATCTTTGATTTCTTATTTGTGGGTCTTGACAAAACCTTTTCAAATCTTTGATCTAAGATTTTCATCTACCAATGAGCAAACTTTTGAAATGGTTTTGTAAGTCGATATTCATTTACATCATATTGTGTCGATTAGTAGCATGAGTAGGATCAACATGGTAGAAACCATGATAGTATTCTTGACACAGACGGTATTGTGAGGATGCGTAATAATAGAGATGAGAAACTTATTCACATACATTTGGAAGATTAAGTGAATGCATGTAAAAAGGGTTAAGCGCATGTACATATTTTGATCATGACATTATATATAAATTAAACAATTAACCTGATATAGATGTTATAGTAATATATGTTGGGTCTAACCTCTAGACATAGATTTAAGTTAAACATTCACGTGAGTATCAGTTATTAATACTATATGTTGGTTTTGTTGCGTGAGATATCACCGATGAGACAATACGGTTAGCCTATCGACTTTGCGTTAGACATAACCTCTATTGTGGGTGATACGTTATGATATTAGACGAAATTTTGAGTTGTGTATAACATGATTAGAAGAACGCATGTGTTATCAATCAATGAGATCCAATCCCAACAAGGCTCCATTTATAATTCAGTCTTTACTTTACATTTTCCAACTTTATCTTTTCTGCCTTTATTTATGGGTCCTTAAACTTTTTACCCAAAACTTTTAAAAAACAAGCTTAGAAATGTAGAGACCGTTGAGTGACGTTCTTTCCTTTGCACCTATCCCTGTGGAGACGATATAAATCCCGAAGGGAATTCCTTCAAAACTAATTTTTGTTGCTTCTTACTGCTTTTTGCAGTTCGAACAATAAGTATAGATCAATTACTTGCAAAAGGGTACAACATGAAGTTATAAAAGAATAAGATAAAAGTGTATCATGGTGAGGGAAGTTTGATTCTGAAGGCACCATTGGCAAAAAAACAGGACCTTCATGTTGCACCCCAAAATTTTCCCAACCTTTTTCCCACTTGGTTTATGGTTCATTGCATTGAGCATATCATTGCATTAGCATAATCGTATCATTGAATTAGCATGTGCGCAGGGGGATCAAGTGTGATTCACATCAAAAGAGGCCTATCCAGAGGTATTATACAAGCTTGAGAAGTCACCAAAGTAATCAGGGCAAGGGTTGAGTTCTTAAAAAGTTCAGTTGCTTATATGAAGTTCATCTCCTAACCCGAGGAGCATTTGATGGCCATCAGAGGGTTGTCAAGTCTTGAGTATGGATATGAGGTGTGGAAAGAGCTCATGGAGTGCCTAGAGTGCCATGTGGGAGCTCAGTCAAATGTTTGTATCAAGTTCAAGAGCCACGGTTGAGGTGTGTGTAGCGAGGGTTTCATCTGATCAACCCTAGGTCAAAGTTGAGTATTTGAAGGGATCAAAGCCTACTTCTAGGTCATGGTATTATTGAAAAGATATATTGAATCATGTGATAGATTGTCTCAAGGTTAAATCAATAAGAATCAAGAAGGATTGAAGTTGCTAAGCTAGGGTTCCTAGGGTAAAATCCCCTACTTAGTGCCAAACTTCCAAGTTATGCAAGTCAAGCTACAAGCCTTATATGACTTTGGGACAAGCATTAGTCTTGTAGAGGATGTGCATACCTTTAATTTGAGTACTAGAAATCATCCATATGATTTGTAGAACTCAAGTTATGAGCCAGACAAGTTACAGGTCATCTCAGGCATCTGAAATTTGTCTGTGAAAGTTCCCTAACTTCCAAGATATTTTTGACCTAGAAGGAAGTTTCACATGACCTTTGGATGAACATAAGAGTTATTCCTTATGATCTTAACTTTCCAAAAAGTGGTAGAAGTCTTCCATCTGATTTGCAGAGCTCAAGTTATGGTCTTTGCAAACCAGGGGTATTTTGGGAAACTATGATTACAAGTCATAAAATTACAGGTCAAGTTCAATACTTTGCATAACTCAAATGGACTTTTTCCAACATGAAATTTTCTCCAAATTGGGTCATTTGGTCAACCCTACCTCAAGGTTTCGATGGGCTAGCTTGTGGTTGTAGTTGTATGAAAGGTACTTTGGTGAAAGTATGTGAAAAGGCCTAGATTGGAAAGTTACCAATTTTTAATCAAACAAAGTCATATTTGTGCTTATTTTGAATGGAAATTATGTTTTAAGAACA